GGCTTCTAGAAGAAAAAGAAAAAGACATAGTTGCCTCTGAGACAGGATCTGGCTGGTCATGCATGAAAAGGAAATTTAAAGTTCACAGTATACCTTTCTGTGCCTTTTGAATTTGAATCATACACGTACCACATATTCGATAATAAGTTTGAGAATCTTTGGATGAAAGAGATCAAACTGACAAACTACAGAGGTTAATAGATCATTTCTTATTATAACCTTATTTTTTTAATCTTACTGCTGGTGTTTTGTTTTTCCCTCTAATTTTGATGAAAATAGACAAGAGTTTGTTAAAAAGCTTTTATTAAGCAGATAACACAACATGAAACTATTGTGTGACTAACTCCCTCTCGATGATCCTCCACATCTGAAGGTGGTGGTTCCAGTTCTCAAACCCCTTCCCTCTGAATGGAATGAAACATTTCGGGGTCCTGTGAGGACGGCACGGGCCCAGCAGTGTTGCATTCTACTGTACATGGGGTCACTATGAGTTGAAACCCGCTGGACGCAAAGAATTCTTAGGTTCTTCCATTCACACGGCAAGAATACGGCAGTTTTGGCATTCCTAAGGGAGTCGGCGGGTTCCTTTCAAGTGCTCTTTGATTTTGGAGGACAAATAAAAAATAAATCTGAAGGACTGCAGGCATGAAGGGGGTAAGGTTTTCCAATAAGGAAGCTTTTCTTTCCCTTCAAAAAATGAGTAGGTGCGTTCTTGTGATTCTGCAGATTTCCGTGATACAAATTTCTTGGGCTTTTCCTCATCGAAGCCATTTTCTTAAAATGTTCACAGCAAATTTCCATGATTATCCTGTGTTTCTTCAGAAAATATGACTCCTTTAGAGTCTCCCAAAATTGTCATTTAACCTTCCGAGCTGATCCCTCTCTTGAATGGCACCTGCCCAGCAGATCCCCTTGGAAACCACTATTCTGATTTGGCCTCTTTTTTTTTTTTAAGGTATTCTAACAAGACTGATAAGATTACTGAGAACATTTGTCTTTTAGCCATCCACTGATCAGAGACATTTTCAAATACATTTTGTTTGGAATAAGCCTAGGCATGCACGTTCTAGAACCCTGGGAGTAATACTTTTTGACTTTCCCCTGTGTACACCAAAACATTTATTTGCTGATACAACCTCCTCCACAGTACAATCCAGTGACATTGATTATATTCTCTTTTTTCCCCATTTTATAGTTTTATTTAGGTATAATTAATAGATCATACAATTCAATAGTTCTATCTTTTTTTTCCTAATCATTTTATTAGGGGCTCATACAATTCTTATCACAATCCATACATACATCAGTTGTGTAAAGCAAATTTGTACATTGATTGCCCTCATCATTCTCAAAACATTTCCTCTCCACTTAAGCGCCAGGCATTGCGTCCTCATTTTTCCCCTTCCTCCTCGCTCCCCCCCTCCCTCACGAGCCCTTGATAATTTATAAATTATTATTTTGTCATATCTTGCCCTGTCCGACGTCTCCCTTCACCCACTTTT